TCACCCGATGCGGAGTTCACGAACGGAAGCAAAATTTTGCGAACGGTGCTGTTCGTGAACCCAATTGTTCGTGAACAGAAGCGTTCGTGACCCAAGGTACCACTGTACTTTTGCTGAAATTTTAAAAATACTGAAAGGAAGCATGTTTTTCTATGAGTTTGGTGGCTGAATAAGGAGAAGTTTCCAGGAAAATTCAATTCATTATTGCCTTTTGCAGTTACGTTCTGAACCCTAAATCTATCAGATAATCCCTTGGTCATTTGAAGACCTTACTAATGCAGCATTTTAGGCAATTAACAACTAGGGAAGCTTTCTTAAAAGAATACCATCTCACAAATAGATTGTAAACAAACATTTAGAACAGCTTATTCTTAATGTCTTTTTATGCCTAGGGGTTTTCTTATGGATGAGACACAAGTCTATGATTAAATTTTGAGGGAAATTGTTTCCAACTTCAAAAAATTGGACAGTCCTCTATTCAACACGAAAGCAACAATCCTGGCTAGATGGTCAAACACATCTAGGATAAGAAGGTCTTTAGAAAGCGCCAACTAATTTTTCATCAGCCTTTTTGCAATCAAAATTCTATCAAATTCTCAATTTTTATAGGACCAGTCACATGATTAAACGTCCCTCGCTATGAAAGCTCACACAAGAACTAGCATCAAGTGATCCTAATCTACAGGCCACCTATACTGATAGATAGCACCCACATTTCTTCCAGTTGCCAAAATAATCACAATTCTTGGGAAATGCTTAACTTAGAAAATAATAGATGATATAACTTGCACAGGTGCACATACAGAGTGACATGACTAGGTCAGTCTACAAAGGAACTGCTTATGTCCAGTCATTAACTGGGCAGATATCTAGGGATATTTTTATTTCTTTAGAACAAATTGTCCTTCTTTAAGCCTCAGTGCCTTTACATTTCAGTAATTCCACCAAAGAAATAGCTGAGACCATAATGCTCTTTTCTTTTTTACTAAAATATCTCAAAATAAACCATGTCATTAGTAACAATTCATCTACACATTATCCAAAGACAATGATTTTTATAGTCAGTAATAAAGATGCCTGAGCATTATTATATGTCAATCATATTAACTAGGAAAGTCTACTCACATTTTCCTAACAGAAAACTGAAAAAGTATCTATACATTAAATAGACTTTTAAACATTTTTTCAATTAAAACAATGCAATTTTGGACACCCCAGTAAGTTGTTAAGTATATAGTTTCCTGACATGAGATTATTAACTCTTAATGCTGTAATTAGGACGGTGCAGCGGTTCAGATTTGAAGGGGGAAAGGTGATTTGGAGGCATGAGGGCACTCACGTTGCTCCAGTGGCAATTCTGTAAAGAAGTTGTGTCCTTTTCTTTTTTCACACAGTAGCTCATGAAATGCCACACTGGATTTAAGGAGGTGTCAACAGGTCTAATGAGCATTCCCATGTGAGCTCTGAATCATATTTTCTCATCTGAATCCTGATTACTGTACTGCCCTATTAATAACAACTGCATATTTTCTAAATACCAATCTCCAGTCTCCACCACTGTTTGGTTTCAATGTATCCTTACCGATATCTATAGAAAATTCAATTTCCCCAAATAATTGATTAGAATATTACTTATTACCTCTCTATGATTTGGGATCGTTATCTTGATTCACCTCATCAAGCTAATCGGTTGGTCTAGTCTTATAACTTTACTTTATCCATTATCATTTTCACACCAATTTAAACAGTTTAAAGCACCTGCCCCTCTAATTTGCATAGTGGAAAATGTGAATTCAGATGTTTTTATTTTTTGTGTCAGATTAGAGTTATTACGAGCTCTGCAAAATAGCTGGTACTTCAGTCACGTCTAAGTTCATCTATAACAACACTAAAAGAACTATACTCAAAACAGCACTTTTTTCCCCTTGCACCCAAACTAATTTGGGACCAGCATTGAAAGCTTTGGCCTTACAGTATCTTGCTGGCCAATGACCAACATTTTCTCAGAAGTACACGAATGCAGTACATGAATGGCTCTTTAGGATCTCAGAGATTTCCTTGATGGTTTGCTAAATTTCACTGAAGCAGCAAAATACCTAATTTAACTAATTCAGGGATAAATAGGCAAAGTTTTATTCAGCATTGGAAGTGGCATTCTAAGGTTATTCTAGAAAGAGGTTTATTCTGTCATCACTGTTTTCCAAAAATATGGATAAGTATACAGCACTATAAGGCAGGTAAGAACTTTCCTGGTGCCAGGAATAAAGAGTTCCAGCAAAACTATGGGTGGAAAAAGTCAGAAGAGGAAGAGAAAGAAAGAACCAGGGCTAACTGAAGGCTTCCACCTACCATGATTAATGAAGGCGGCAGGCCCTAGCCAGAGCTGGGCACACTGTTTCCGGGTGGAGTACATGATGCTGAAGTCATTTTCACCTGCTCGGAGGAAGCTCTCATCTGGTTCTGTCAGTTCTGCAATGTAGCCCTCTAAAAGCTCCAGTTTATCATTCTTTCTCCTTATGGGAGGGAAGAAAAGAAATAACCTCTCCTATCAAGAGGACCATACTGCTGCAATCTCAGGTATAACAGGCAAGAGCACATACAGGGTTGCTTCACTATCCACTTCCTTGCATGCTGGTCGGAAAGAACGTTTTTCTGATGGACATGCCCTCTTATAGAATACTCTCACCAGAAAAGCACTCCTTGCCCCTCCCTTTATTTTCCTCTCAGGAAAGACATGTTTTTAACTTTCTGACACTAGAATTCATTGTACTCTATTATACATTCTTGGTTTTTATGGTTCATAGTTCTATTTCTATTTTTTTTTAGTATAATCCAGCATGCAAGTAAGTTAATAATTTTGCCACGTGGGGAAGGAGTAGCACTATGATCTTACCATGATTTTGTAGATACCACCCGGGCTCCATTTATTTCTAAGGAATATCGACTACAGCGTCTGATGGCAAAACCACTCTCAGGAAGGAAAATGCGAAGATACCGAAAAATCTGGGGTGGTGAGGAAGAGAGAGAGAGAGAGAGAGAGAGGGATGGCTCCCATCAATCCAGGTTCCAAGATATTCTCCGAATTAAACTCTATGTCATTTTGGCTCCCAGTCTACCCCCATCTTAGGATTCTAGACAATTTCTCTTCTTTTGAAGAAATAAGGTATCTTATTTTGGCCTGCTGGAGTTTACCCCTTCTAAGAAAATGCATAGATTTTGAAGTTAGACTGCTACTGAGTCCTGAACATCCTTACAGTGAAAAGCCTTTTTAGATTTCTTTCGTCATCTAGGGAAGCTTTATTTAATGGAGATAATTTCTCATCAGTAATTGGCTACCATAAGGAAACAATGGAAAGGGGCAAACATTGTGATAGACAGCACAGTCTGTTGTCAATCTGTAAGCGAACTTGTATTGTGCAGACTAGTAATGATGTGGTTTATCACAGGAAGAGGAAAGATCTACAACTGGCTAAAGAACTAATTGTATCATTTGGAAAAGAGACAAAACCAGAACCAAAAACAAAATATTGATACTGACACCACAGAACATCAGGATTTTGTGAAACCAGTGAAGGCATAGTCAGAAAAACAGAAAGATATCGGTATTCAAAAATAAATAAATAAGGAAGATGTAGAAATTGGGTTAATTTTGAGTAACGGGTTATTCATATGCAATGAATACTTTATTATAGCAATTGATGACACCTGTGACACTAACAGCAGCGTGCCTCTAGATGAACAGATGGAGAGAACAAAAATCTCTCTGTTAATAAGAGTTATCAACCAAAAAATAAAACTCTCATTATTCCTTGGATCTGCCTTTAATGACTTTCTATAGAGCAAGCAGAACAAAGCAATTCTGGTTATTAAATAACCGTAATTCATTAAAGAGAGGAAGAAAAAAATCAAGTTCCCACCATACATATAAATACGGAGATGGAAGACAGCAGTGGAATATTTAATACCTCTTGAAACCTGAAGCGCTAAGTATCAAAATTATCTATACACCCCTGAAATAACTAAATAAGAACTTGAAAGCTAGCATAAATATTCAGTAAGAGGAAACAGAGATGAGGCAGCACTGGGTCAGATTAAAAAGTAGACATATATTGTGTGTGTGGGGTTGTTATTAGCACAGAGATACACACACACATGCACACATATATATATTGAACAAGGTATCTTCTAAATGTGTTACAAGATATGGTTTATGGGAGTTGGTCCAAGAGATATGGAGGATACCAGGTTGAATATAGTTGGACATAGGCATTTTAGAATGCAGACAAAGTATTATATGATGGATAAGATCAGTGCAAGGCAGCTAATTGGAAGAATCAGTGGAGGGAGAGGCACTAGGTTAGTCACAATGTTCATTTTCTTTGAATATGCTTGCTCTCTTGGCATATAAAATGTATCTAACTGTAACAATTTTCTCTTTATCCAGCTCACTTTCATGTCAGTTGAAGATGCTTAAAAACACCAAAGCTCAGCCAAAAAGGAAGGAAATCATACTTCTTTGTCCTTTCATCAACAGCCAGCCTCTGTGGCTGCCAGCTTGTGTTACAAGTAACATAGGCAAGTTACAAGTAACAGGCAAGTTAAAAAAAAAGATGATAGCCTAGTAATTGTTTGTCACTTAATTACAAAGTTAATGCTAAGTTGTATGTGGCCAGAGCACCAATACGATACATCTAACCTGGTCTAGAGAAAAGGAAGGCATAGACTAGATTAGGGTAAGTACTTTTTTCTCATTTACGTTCTTACATGATTCACTTTTAATAATAAATAACACGTTATGGAACAGGCTTTCCAAGCCTGTTTCTTTGGAATGGTGTTAAAATAGAACTCCCACCACCCTAACTGCCATGCTGACTAGCGTGATAAGAGCTATAATGTAATAATCTGAAAGGAACTGGCTTGGGAAGAAAAAGTCTATCTAAATAACTCTTTCAGACTTCAACATGCTCTCCAGCCAATAGGCAAAAGACAGGATTGTACATGAGTCTTGAAGGCGGCTTCTTGCTGATGGCTCCGGTTTGCAAAATACTGGCAGGCCCAGCCACCCTGCATCAAGGCTTGATACGCGGCTTCTAGGTCCTTGCGCTTCCGGAAAGCCTCCACCGCCTCCCGTAAATGGTGCTTTCTTCTGATAGCTGGGAGTGGGCTGTAGAAATGAAAGAGGATTTCTTTTGAAATATACTTTTTTCCTTACTACTCTCAATCCTCACCACTTAATATCCATATCCAATCTAGATAGATAGACAGATATTCATTCCTGCTTTGCAACCTAAATTTTCAGAGTTATTCCATTCCCATTCCTTACCTTACATTCATTTTATGTGTCTTAAAGCCAAGGTAGGAGTCAAGAATTAGTGTCGTGGCAAGGTCGTCATTCTCACATAGCTCTTTTGCAGTCACCCGAGTAGAGCCCATCTTCTTTCCAGAACCATGCTGTTCTCAACTCTGCTAGCCACAAGAGAGAGGCAAGGCAGACAATTAAAGCCAAATACACAGGGAAGTTGGGAACATGAATCTAAGCTCCAATAAATGCAGACTAGCAAATATTAAAATAAGCAGAAGCACTCCCTCCCAACACAACCATAATTTTATCTTGCTATTTGCACATCACATGAACACACAGCAGAGATTTTCTTTTTCTAAGAAAGGCAGCCTTTATTAGAACTGTTCCAACATACTAAAAACTAAAAAAATGGCGTAAGGACATTTTGCCACGTTTGCTCATAATTTTTCTACTATGTTGACTTTTCTATTGTGTACTGTAATTGTTATAATTAAAGTATAAACCAAGAAACAGTTTTTATAGATGTAGGTTAATCAGTAGCAAACTCAACATGAACAAAAATTATTTTACTATATATTATGGTTGATGTAACTTTTTAAATATATGTGGCAAATCTTCAAGCACCATGTTATTAAAGCTGAAGTTCATATAACATTCATTTGATCTAATCAACAAATCACAAACTTCTCCATGGCTAGGAAAGAGGGAATAAGCACTGCAAAGATCTCTCCTGAAATATTCTCTTAGTAAAATGTTTCAAAAGCATACTACATAACTCAAAACATGAAGTATGAATATGTTTGTGGGGGAATCTAGACTCCAAAGCATTAAATAATTCCTGTTCAATCTCCCTCAAATTGGTACCCTCTATAATGGGAGTTAAAATCCTTCTAGAGGGAATCTTTATATCCAGCAGGTGGCAGCACCTGACCAACCTTGTGGGGCTCACCAGCCAAAAAGAGTCAGAACTGATTTGTCCTTGGATAGGAGAACACCAGCAATCCCTGAGATGTAAACTAGATTGGGAAGTCAAAGAAACATTGTGAAAGGTAATGGCAAATCACTTCTGTATTGTTGTCCATGTAGTCAGCAAAAGTTCAGCTTGACCCAGAGAGACTACATTTTAAAATACAGAAACATTTAATGTTTCTTTTGTCTGTGAATTTTTGCTTCCTTCTAGTTCTGGAGATACTACAAAGATGGCGTAGTCTTATAATTGGCAGGCCCCAAAACCCAAAGCCACTCAGTCTTGCCAGGGCTCAG